GAGACAGAAAGCAGAACCATACAGAACACCACTGGCTGTGAGACCCTGAGCAACACTGAACTAACCCTCTTTGAGCCTCAGTTTCTTCATCTATAAAATGGGGAAAACACGTAGCAAGGCAGTGTGATACAGAGCACCAGCTCTGGGGTCACAGGGCTTGGGTTCAAATCCTACCTCAGTTTCTTGCTACCTGTGTGATTTGGGGTAGGTCATTTAGTTTCCTCAGTTTCCTCCTCTGTAAAATGAGGGCTGGATGGTCATGAAGGTCCCATCTATAATCCTATGATCCTACTGGCACCACCTACTACCCACTTCACCAGATGGTTGGAAGGAAAATACTTTCTAAACCACTGGGACTTACAGCTTATCCTATCAATTAACAAACATTTATTAAGCACCTACTGTATTCTAGACACCGAGGATACACTCAACAAGTGTTTATTAAGCACTTACTGTGTGCCAGACACTGCAGATAATCAACATTTACTAAGCACCTACTGTGTGCCAAACTTTGTGCTAAGGCACAAGGGATACAAAGACAGATATGCCAGTCCCCGCCCCTCAAAAAGCGTAAGTGTAACCGGGGAAGACGCTCTGTGCATATGTAGGTGTATATAACAGATACGAGGGGTAGGGGGAAGGAGGGCGCTGGCAGCTGCGGGATCAGGGAGGCTTCGTGCAGAGTGTTCCTGGAGCTGAGCACTGAAGGAAATGAGGCCAGTGAAATCAGACCTTCCAAAGCCCTCCGGGCTGAGGATTCGCCCACCTAACGCCAACCTCCAAGACTCGACCCTCCCTGCCCTTCCCACGCTAGATAACCCCACCCAGGACCTGACCTAATGGAGAAGAGTCAGGCCCCTGTTTGGACACAAGACGTGTTCCCACCCCCCCAGTCTACTGCCCCGCGTGTGCTAACCGGACCCAGGATGGGTTGGGGTAAGCGAGGGTAGGGAATGAGGAAGGAGAGACTAGGTGTGTCTACAGCCCCGGGGCAGGACCTGAGGGGGCTGCCAGGCAGGCTTTGCTGGGCAGACACTCGGGGAAGTCGGTTTACTTGGTGCCTGAGGGTAGCAGGTTGGAAGTCGGGGGCCCTGGGTGCGTGGAGTCCGACGGCCGGCCCACCAAACCTCGGCGGAGGTTGGAGAGCTGAGCTGGCCAGCTCCGCGCGAGCTCCTGGCAGCCCCCGGGAATCTTCAGGGAGGCTTGCTCGCTCAGGAGCTCCAGGGACCAGGGCTTCCAGACGGGCAGTACTGAGACCCTAGGAACACGTCCCTTTTTCCGCCTCTGGGCAATGCGCGGAAGGGGTGAGCAGTCCAGGGTCTGGCGGAAGGTGCCTGGGCTGCTAGTGAGTGAGAGCAGCTGCTGAGGTTGCCGGTATCCGGCAAGCACTCTGCTCCCCCAACCCCGACTTCCTGGAGCTTTCTAGAAGTAAGGGGGGATGGGAGGAGAGAGATAGTCTCCGACCTCCCCGATGACCCCAACTCCCCTATTTAGGATACCGCCGATCCCTTAGTTCCAAAGATGGGCGCATCAGGATTGGGGGAGAGCCCTAGGGTGGTTGCCTGGGGAGCTGGCGTTAGGGGGTGAGGCTGGGGGAGCTTCCATGCTCCCTCCCCTTCCCCACTCTCACCCCACCAGGACATCTCAGGTGTAGCTTTGCTTCTTGACCTCCATTTTTTTTTTTTTTTTTAGAAGCCAGGGCTGGCACCCATTAGGGGTGGGGACTTAGAGCTGAGGACCAACTCCTTCCCCTCACGAAGGAGGCCCCTTAAGTGATTTGCCCAGGGTCACAAGGGTAATGAGTGATGAGGCAGAGATTCGAACCCAGGTCCCCTGACCCCAGGCACCTTTTCTCTACTGTTCTGCTCCTCCCCAAAGGCAGGGTTCAAGCCGATCCAGGGCAGAGTGGTTCAGCTGAAGGAAGCCTGGACCTGGCAAGAGTTCCTCAACTCAAACCCCACTCTGCCACTTGCTCTGTGTGTGAGGACAATTAGACTAAATGTCCCAGAAGGCCTCTTCCACCTCTGATTCCATGGTCCTTGTGAAACCACTTAGGATGTCAGCCTGGGCCATGCGGCTGAAATCACCAGGCAGACAGAGTCAGAGTTAGGCTGGGGACTGGTCTCAGGCAGGGTGAGGTTGAGGTTTGGGGCTGTGCTTAAGGCTAGTGTTGAATTGGGGTCAGAGTTAGGGTTGGGAGAAAGGGGCAGGAGGTGCGATGCTCCAGCCAACCCTTCCAGCTAACATTCTTCGCTCCCAATCTCAGGCCCCCCCCACATTCCATTCAGGTGGCCTGGAACTCAGATCCCAGGACTAAGGACAGGTCTGGGTGCCTCCTTTCCTCATCTATTCCCACCCAACCCTGTGCAAGTAGTCTCAAGCTTTAGGTCTCTGGAGAGAGAGGTCTCTCCTCTCCATGCTTAATGCTGGGACCGTGACATTCCTCTACCCAACACCCCAAATTCTACAGCCAAGTGGTGTAGGGGCTGGTGCACTGGACCTGGAGGCAGGAAGAACTGAGTTAAATCCTGCCTCAGACACTGACTAGCTGTGACTCTGGGCAAGTCCCTTAACCTCTGTCTGCCTCAGTTTCCTCATTTGTAAAATGTCGATAATAATAGCCCCTACCTCCCAGGGTTGTTGTGAGGATCAAATGAGCTAACATGTGTAAACTTTAAAGTGTTATATAAATGCCAGCTCCTCTTATTATTATCATTATCATCAATCAGCATCATTATATATTCCCCAGTTATGGTATGGGGTTAGAATGAGACACTGGAGGTTAAAGACCACCTGGGGTAAAAATAATAATAACGGACATTTCCAGAACACTTACCATGTCATTTTTCCTCTCAACAATTCTGTCACTCACATTTTACAGAAGGGGAAACTGAGGCTCAAAATGTTACGTGACAGCTAGGGAGTGTCTGAGGAAGGATTCCTAACTCCGAGGCCAGTGCTCTGTCCCTTACCCCAGGGTGCCTAGGCTCTGTTCATTACTTTTTTCTGTGGGCTCTGCACGAATTCTATATATTTTGGTGGCACTTAGCTCATGGGTCTCAGCCCAGAAAAGAATGGCCAAGTCCTGGGCTTTGCTGGGCAGCAGATATCAGGGATGGGGGGTGGGGAGGGGGAATAGTGCAGGATTTACCCCTGGAGATATTTTAGCCCACTGCCCTCATTTTATAAAGGGGGAAACTGAGGCCTGGAGAGAAGGGATTTGTCCAAGGTCAAACAGGTAGTAAATGACATGGATGGGACTCCAGCCCAAGGCCTCCAGCCTGGCGGGTGGGGGTGGGGAGGAGCAGCTGGTCTCTGGGCCTGGCAGCTCAGAGGTTTAAGGCTCAGGAATGAAAGTCTCCTAGGAATGCTGGCCCTAGGAATGCTAGCCAGGCAGGGATGCCTGGCATGACCACTCCCTCACACCCAGGCAGGGGGGAGGGGGAGGAGGGGGGAGACACAAAGCTAGTGGGGGAAGGGGCACCTCCTAGAAAGAAAAGGAAGTAGGGATACAGCTGCCCAGTGGGTCCCTTCCAGGAGAGATTAGCACAGCAATGAACACGTGCAGCATTTTCTCACTGGCTTGTATTCTTGCATTCAGGGTGCCTCTGTCCCCAAAGCTAGGGAAGGGTCCCTCTCTTCTGCCTTGTCTGAAGGCTTTGGGAAGGACAGGAAGGGAAAGGTTGCCCCAGTGAGTTTCCCTTGGCTCTCTCTGCCTCAGCCCTACTCTATCGCCCGGTCTCAATGTGAGCAGTGTGGGACAATGCTTAGAACGCCAGCATGGGGCAGGGTAGGAGGAGGTCCAGGACATCTGAGTTCCTCATTCCCTACTTTTCAGCTCCTCTGAACCCAGTGCCTGCCCATAACAGGAAGAAAGGATTTCTCTCCCTAGTTCACCCCCCTCCCCCCACCCTTTTCTGCTAGAGCTGGAAAGAACCCTTGGGTATCATCTAGTCATGCCCTCATTTCACAGAGAGGAAAACTGAGGCCCAGGGAGGGAAATGACTTGCCCAGGCTAGTGAAGTAGCACAGCCAAGATCTGAACCCAGGTCTTTTGACTCCAAATCCAGTGGGTTTTTCCCACTGGGTGCGTGTAAACATCGGCTCCCGATTACAGAGGCAAACACACCCTGACTAAAATGGTCTCACTTGGGGTGGAGCCTATGGGATCCAGGAAACAAAACCAGCTCCATCCTTGCCTCTCACCAAATCCCCTGACAAGCAGCCCCACCCTCATGGGTACTTCCTTCCTGGCAGCTGAGAGATGGGCTAAACGACCCCTGGGGGTCTCTGTGGGCCCGAGGAGTTCTGGGAAGCCCTGGCCTATCCTCAGAGGCAGCCTGGTGGGGCAGCGTGGTAAGGGGTGAAGAAGGCAGGAGAGATAGAATCAATCTGGCCCAAACTCTGGGGTCAGGAAGTAACTGATAGACAGACAGACAGACAGACAGACAGACAGACAGAGAGACAGACTTCTGCTCCCTGGGTTCAGGATGGGAGTTTGTGAGGAGAAGAACCAAGGTTTCAGAGCGACAGGGAGATGAGGAGGCAGAGGAGAGACCCCCTGAGAATCCCAGGATCTGAAAGCTGGAAAGTACCCCATCCTTTCACAGAGGATGAGACAATGACCCCGGAGAATCCCTGCCCCGGACCCAGGCTCATGCCCTTCTGTCTACCTTTCCAAACAAGAGACACCAAAGCAGGGTGGGTCCCTCAGTGCTGACGGAGCCCAAGTTCTGGATGCTGGGAAGATGACCGAGTGTCCAGGTCCTCTCAGTCACCGGGCTGGCCCAAAGCTGCTCTGAGGTTTCCGGCCACTCCATCCCACATCCCCTCGGTTCCCATCCCTCCTAACATTCCAGCTTGGGATGGGCATGGGGGAGAGAGAAGAAGACAAGGAAAGACTTGGGGGACGTAACTTCAAGTATCTGAAGGGCCCTCACATGGAAGAGAGATTAGCCTGGCTCTGCTTGATTCCTTCAGGGCAGAAGTAGGAGCCCTGGAGGAGGAAAGATGCAGAAAGACAGATTCCCTTCAATGAAAAGACAGGTTTCCTAACAATGAAATTGTCCAGGACTGAATGGGCTACCTTGGTAATCAGTAGTAAGGTTCCCATCACTGGATCCTGTCAAATGCTCACTGGATGCCCACAGAGCAGGGGTCTTTTAGAAGAGATTCCTTCGTGGGGGTGGGAACTTTGAGAGCCTGACACCCTCAGATCCCAAGGCCCTTAGTGGCAATGATAGTAATAATAATAATAATAAAAGCTGGCATTCCTGTAGCGCTCCAAAGTTTGCAAAGACACTGACGTATGATTTTAGATTTAGGAACCGTCTAGTTCAGCCTGCTCATTTTGTAGATGAGGAAACTGAGGAAAAGAGGTTAAGAGACTTGCCTAAGATCACATGGGCAGCAGGTGATATAGGCAACATTTGAACCCCGGTCCTCTGGTTCTCAACGGCTCCTGCTACTGTAGGGCACCCACAGGATTTCTTCTGAACCCCACAACAACCCTTTGAGGCAGGGCCTGCAAGATTCAGCAACTCACTTTCTGTTCTCCCACCCCATGCTCCTCTCCTCTTCCTCCTGCTCCCCGCCCCCTCCTCTCCTCTTCCTCCTGCTCCCCGCCCCCCCCTTCCTCGGGGCACCCAGGCTGCTTAATGAGAGTGACAAAAGACCCTTCATCGAGGAGGCTGAGCGCCTGCGGATGCAGCACAAGAAAGACCATCCCGACTACAAATACCAGCCCCGGCGCAGGAAGAACGGGAAGGCGACCTCGGGGGAGGGGGAGGCTCCCGGCGAGGGAGAGCCTGGAGGGGCGGCCGCCATCCAGGCGCACTACAAGAACTCCCACCTGGACCACCGGCACCCCGGCGAGGGCTCCCCCATGTCCGACGGGAACCCAGAGCACTCCTCAGGTGAGGGCTGGACAGGAGGGCAGGTGATACGCTGGAGGGGCACCGTGGGGGCCAGGGGGCACCGTGGCACTGCGGGGTTGTGACAACGAGAATGACCCCCGCCAAGGCAGGGAGGCGGGGCCCAGGAGCCTGAAGGGCGTGGTCCGATTGGCCTTTCTTGGGGGAGGGGAAAGGAGGAAGGAGCCAGGTCCTGCGCTCACCTGGCCTGGCTTCCCGAGGGGTGCCAGCCTGCTCAGGTAGACCGGGCTCCTTGGGGAGCTCAGCGGCGCTGTCATTCTTCTGGGGAAGGAGGAATCAGGGGTGGCCGACACGGAGTTGGGGGGAAGATGCGATCCATGGGGGGTGGCCCGGAAAGCCCAGGCGGGGACCGAAGGATGGGGCTGTGCGACAGACAGGAGGACATAGTTTCTGATCTCGATGAACCCCAGATTTGATGGGGAAACATCCCCCTTAGGGAGTTCTTGGTATGACGAGGGGGACACAGTCCGTGCCCCTAGGGAGCCCAGGTCTGAGGAGGGAGACCAGTGTCAGAAAGGTGCTACCGCACAGCTGTGCCCACCCCCCAGCTTCTCAGTCTCTTGGACAACCCGGGGGATGTCATCTGTGTGCGGGGCCCTCCTCCTCAGCAGGAGGTTCTAACGGAATCCAAGACAAAGGGAGACTGCAGTCCCATCCCAGAAGGCTGAGACACGTGCTGAGGTGTTCCCAGTTAGCTAGGAGAGGCTCGATGCTCTTGGGGGGAAAGTCATCCCAATAAAAGAGACACAGGATGCGCCTGGCTTTAAAAACGCCCTGGGGATTTATCTGCTCCCCTCTGTCCCTGATGGGCTCCCCAAGTGGCCTGGAATGGAGAGCTCGAAGGTTACTTGCTTGGGGACCACCTACTCCCAGTTTTACAGATGAGAAAACTGATTCCCAAAGAGGGAAGTGATGTGTGCAAGATGATAAGGAGCAGAGGCAGAATTCGAACTCAGGACTGCAAACTCCAAAGCGAATTTCCCTTTCCTTATACCCTGTGTCCTTCCTAAAAAGGGCCCAACCAGCTTCTCTGAAGCTGGCTTGGGAACCTCCCTAATTGCTATTAAAAGAGGTGGGCAAAGTGGCTGAGCCAGAAACATCCACAAGACCATAAACAAGGTTGTGCTGACAAAAGGCAGACCTCAGTTCAAGGAGAAAAGACCCGCTCAGCCAGTGTTCCTCATTCTCAGCTTGTGCTGGAGAGACAGATAGAGACAGAGACAGAGATGGAGACAGAGAGGAAAGAAAGACAGAGACACAGAGACACAGAGGAGACAGAAAGACAGAGAGAAGAGATGGAGAGATGGAGAGAGAGAGAGAGAGAGGGAGAGAGAGAGAGAGAAAGACAGAGAGAGACAGAGAGAGAGAGACAGAGAGAAAGAGAGAGAGAGAGAGAGAGAAAGAATGAGTTGGCCCCAGCCTTCAAGCCCATGAAACACCTGGAGACAGTCTACAATGGAGCCCCTGGTTATGCAGTGAGCCTGACTCTTGTAAGTACCTTAGGAAAACTGGCCCTCCTTATAAGCTCAGCAGACTTCTTGGAGGAGGCAGTTCTAAGCAGGGGCTCGAAGGAGGGGAAGGATGTAGCTCTCAAGGCAAAGAGGGAGGAGGAAAGGCAGAAAAGGGAATCATTTGAGCAAGGTTCCTCCCAGGAGCAAGCCTGGCAGGGGCAGAGCCACCTGAGTGGAGGGAGGGTCTGTGGAGGAGAAGAAAATCTCAGAGGAGATAAAATGAATTCAAGTCCACTGTGGCCAGGCTTTGAATGTTGGACATAAAGAATCAGTGGGTAGAATTCGGTGCGCATTTATTGAACACCGACTGTGTGTAGGGCTCTTTGCTCCCAACTGGGGATTCAAAAGCGGAAAAAGCCCACAGAGGTGGTGCCAGCCTTCAGGAACCTACTTCTACTCTACTTGGGGAGGGAGACACAAACAGAGAAATCTAACTTGAGGTAGGGTGTGAGAAGAGTACAGGAGAGATTCAGACAAAGTGCTCTAGGAAAACTCGAGGAAGGAGACCACTTTCTAGACAAGGACGTTCCAGCCAGTCAGGCAATCAGTAGGTTCATTGACTGACTGATTGAATTTCTAGCCAGGAAGTTATGGGGGCTTCAAGTGTACTCCTTCCTAAGCCGTGAGTTCTGTTCAGCTATGGAATGTGAGGTGCTGGTAAATGTTTAACAACTGGCTCTCTGGGGAAAATAAACTCATAGGGCACACATTTAAATTTAGTCTATGAAATTACCATTTTCTCCCTCACTTTCTTAAGTCTAGACAATCCACAAAACAATAAATCGAGCCCAACTTTGTAGCATTTGTGGATTTCCAATGTGTAAATGCTCACTCTGAAGATTTAACAATCAGCTTGCCGCTCAAACCCCAGCACACTCCTGGTAGTGAGTACCTCTTCACTAGTGATCATGAAGGGACCTCTGAGGTTATTGAGCTCAACTCTCTCATTTTACAGGCCAATCAAGAAACATTTATTGAGCACCCACTAGGTGCAGGGCCCTCAGAGGAAACAAAAATTAGATAAGAATGATCCCTGGAATATGATCCAAGGAATCACTGCTTATGTGTGGAAACACATGTGGAAACAGGTGTGGAAACTAAGGCCCAGAGGCAAAGTGAGAGGCCCAGGGTCTGGCAGGCAGTAAGTAGCATGAGTGAGATTAGAATTTCTGAGGCAGTGCACTATACCAGAAAGTGGACAAATCCTGGCTCTGCCATTTACCAGCTATGGGTGAGTCACTGGGTCTCAGTTTCCCCATCTGTAAAATGAGAGGGGCTAAACTAGAGGACCTCTGAGGTCCTCTTCCAGCTCTGAAGCGATGGTCCCCTAGGAGTTCATGGAGCGATGAGTAGTACCTGGCACAAGACTTCTTAGGGGAAGTCTTCATTCCACCAAAAGAACAAACCATCAGACTTAATTTAGATTGAACTAACTCAATGGAATGCAACAAGCCTTTACTGAACACCAGCTGTTTGCCCGGCAATGTGCTGAGCACCAGGACATGAAGACAGGGTCCAGTCCCTGGCCTGTCGTCCCAGAAGTCTTAGTGCGAATGGAAGCTTCCAGATTTCTGCAGAGGGGGTTTATAGCAACAGAAACAGGAGCCTGAGTTGTTCCTTGAGTCAATCAGTCAACGAGCAGTTATTAAAAGCCTACTGTATCCAGGGCCCTGGGACTACAAAGGCAAAAATCCCTGTGCTCAAGGATCTGATGCTTTAATGTGGAGAGACAGGAGGGCGGAGTGGGGAAGAGCCCGCTGTCTTCTCCCATTAGAGTGTAAGCTCCTTGAGGGCAGGGATTGTCAGACTTATTTCTTTGCATCCAAAGGTTTAGCACAGTAGGTGCTTAATAAATGCTTATTAATGGCTTGCTTGATTGGGGGATGGTGTAAGGAAAGGCACAAAAACAGGAGAAGACTGAGGTGAATGGAGGGTGGAGAGTGGTCTGCCAAGCACCCAGTATTTATTAAGTGCTTCCTGTATGCCTCTGGCCTCACCAAGGGAGGGTACAGAGATAGACTGGCTGGAGCCAGACTGAGATGGGCCTTGGCGTTTAGCGTCAGGTCCACAGGCCATGGGGAGCCACGCGCGATCAGAGTGGTGCCTGAGAAGGTCACTCAAGCCTGGAAGGATGGATGGATGGACAGGACACGGGACAGGCTGTAGGCAGGGAGCTCTTAGGAGGTCATCACACACAGAGGCCAGCAGGAGGAGAGACAGAGCAGGGGATACCATCCTGTGAGGTCAGCTGTTCAAGGATTACCGCTGCCGTTTGGCTGAGGAGGAAACTGAGGCTCACAGAAAAGTGACCTGGAAGCATCAGAGCCAAGACAAATACATGTTTTCTGGTCCATCAGTCTGTCAATCAACAAGCATTTATTAATCACCTACTGTGGGACAGGCATTGAACTAGGTGCCAGGGATACTAAAAAAAAAAAAAATCATCCCTGCCCTCTTACTAGCCAGCCCAGGAAGATGACGTGTACATAGTATCGTTACACCAAAACACAGGCCAGATAAATACAAGGTGACTTTAGAGGAAAGATCGAGCATCTCGGAGGGTCAGGCAAGGCTTCAGGTAGAACAGCTATGTCTTGAAGAAAGAGGAGGATTCTCCGAACTCAAGATGAGGAGGGAGGGCATTCCAGGCATGAGGGACAGCCAAGGCAAAGGTGTGGAGATGGTAGAAGGAGGGGCCTTGTATGGAGACTAGCAAGCAGGCCAGCTTGGCTGTCCTATAGTGTGCATGGAGGGAAGGATGTGTAGCTCGGGGCCAGGTTGCTGAAGGCTTGCAATGTCAGAGGAGTTTGCCTGGAATCCCAGAGGTACCAGGCTCCTGAACCCTCAGACTCGGTGACTCAGTGTCCCTGTTTTCTCTCTCGTCCCCCCACCCCCCCCACCCTAGGCCAGAGCCACGGACCCCCCACCCCTCCGACCACCCCAAAGACAGAGCTGCAGTCAGGCAAGGCAGACTCGAAGCGGGATGGGCGCTCGCTGGCGGAGAGTGGGAAGCCCCACATCGACTTCGGAGCCATGGACATTGGGGAGATCAGCCACGAGGTGATGTCCAACATGGAGACCTTCGACGTGGCCGAGTTTGACCAGTATCTGCCACCCAATGGACACGCTGGCCACCCCGGTCACGTGGGGGGCTACGCCACGGCCGGTTACGGGCTGGGCAGTGCCCTGGCCGTGGCCGGCGGACACTCGGCCTGGATCTCCAAGCCGCCCGGGGTGACCCTGCCTGCTGCCTCGCCACCCGGGGTGGATGCCAAGGCCCAGGTGAAGACGGAGGCCTCGGGTCCCCCGGGCCCCCCGCACTATGCAGACCAGCCGTCCACCTCCCAGATCGCTTACACCTCCCTCAGCCTGCCCCACTATGGCTCTGCTTTCCCTTCCATCTCGCGCCCCCAGTTCGACTACTCTGACCACCAGCCCTCGGGACCCTACTACGGCCACTCGGGCCAGGCCTCCGGCCTCTACTCAGCCTTCTCCTACATGGGGCCCTCTCAGCGGCCACTCTACACGGCCATCTCTGACCCCAGCCCCTCAGGGCCTCAGTCCCACAGCCCCACACACTGGGAGCAGCCCGTGTATACGACGCTCTCCAGACCCTAGAAGGGTGCTGGGACCCCACTGCGAGGCCCTTCAGGAGGCCGCCCCCTCCTCCTCAGCCCTCCCCCATCTCGGCCATCAGCCACAGAACAGGTGGGGGCTGTGGAGGCTCTCTCCACCCCTCTCACCTCCCCCGGTCCGGACAAGGCCTTGTCCTCCCAGGACCTCAGTGGGATACTCTCATCTTGGCCTGTTACGGCTTGAGGGGGCACCGCAGCCCAGCCCCTCTTAGGACAGCCCTTCTTCCTTCCTTCCTTCGGGCCTGCAGACTTTGCTCATCTCCGTCGGGGAGGGAGGATACCTGTCCTGGACCCCACGGCCCTAACGTACCAGCCCGATGCTCAGGCTGGCCAAGGACCTGAGGACCTGACCGCACTGACTGAGGTGGCGGTGGGGGGAGGAAGAGACCCTCTGAGGGCCATGTGGGTCAGCCAGGTGTGCAAGGGGACAGAGGGAAGGTTCATGGGGCCTCCCTGCCCCCCCAACTGATTATATATGGAGGAGGCAGCAGAGAGGGCCCTTGGGATAGATTCAGTACCAGCCCCCTCACTGCCTCCTAACCTCCTTCCTTCGACTTTCTTTGCTAAATGAACTGGGGGCTTCACCCCAGACAGTGATGGGGAAAGGAGCCGCCAGGGAGGTGGGGAGAGGATTTAGAAACAACTGATGAGGGGGTGCTGTTAATTGGTCACCCCTGCCCCTCCCACCACGCCTGCCCATCCCATAGCCCCACTCTTTCCCCACAGTACTTCCCACTTTCCTGCCCATGTCCCAGGCCCCTGGATTCCCAGATTGCAGAGGTCAGGCCGCCCTAGCCCCAGACTTTGACTCCCAGTCCCAGGGGAAGGCCAAGGCCCCTGTGGTCTGGCAGCCAGGACCTCCCTAAAGACACCAAAATATCGATATGTACATTCTCCTCCCTCATTCATTGGCCCTATCCACCCGGCCCCCCAGCCCCAACCCCAACCCATGGTGTTTGAAGAAAATATGTAGCTGTGTCTGTCCCCCTGTGCCCAGGTCCCCAGCCCCCCAGTCCACATATAACACATTATTGCCCCTCTCCCCCTATTTATCTCAGTAGCCCCTTGCCTATTCCCCTGCCCAGTCCCTATTAACTCTGCATTAAGCAATCCAGAATAATAAAATTAAAGGTTTCAGTTACTGGCCTCCTGGGCCTGGCCTTAGTCTGTCTCTTGGGAATAAGGTGGGACGGTACGATAGGCAGCCCTTAGATCTTAGACCCACAGGATGGCAGAGTCGGAAGGAAGCTCAGAGGTCTCTGGGAGCCCCTCCTCATGGGCTCCAGGGAAGGGGCGGGGTGTCTACCTCAGGTGGATGCCAAAGTCGATCAACTCCCAGTTGGGGTGGGGATGGGAAAGTGAGGGAGCTGTCCTGAGGGTAGAGATGGACACGTGCACACACTGACACTCACACATGTTCACACACGTGTATTCACACTCCTGTACAATACTCACTCTCACACACATGCACACTCACATATTCACACATATGTTCATGCATACACATGTTCTCTCACACACACACACACACACACACACACACCACTCACATCTCCAGCTATGGGTGAGGTCAGACAGGGCTCTCGTTAGGGGATGCTTTACTGTCCCCCCTCCACCCTACCCGTACCATACGTCCCCTTCTCTCATCCCTGCCCTGTACATAATCTCAGGGTTGGGAGGACCCCACACTATTACTTCCACACCCTTGGGGAGATGACAGAGGGACAGCTTGGTGGGGGAGGGGCAGGAATGCTGCAAAGAATACTGGGAGGTGAGGGGCCGGAGGTTCAAAGGGTCCAGAAGTCTCTGAGCCTATTCACAGAGCTCCAGGATAAAGAGTTCATCAGACTGGGTCCTCAGAAACCCAGCACCCAGCTGCCCTGGATGACTGCAAACCACCTGGCCCCGATGAATTACATCCCAAGGTCGTGGGGGGAATGGAAGATGTGATTACTGAGCCATTGTTAGTGCTATTAAAAGGAGAATGGGAAACACAAGATCGGAGGACAAATGTCCCAATTCATAAACGACCGACTCCTAGATTCACGGGAACAGAGACTTAGAGCTACAAAGGGACCCTCAAAATCACTGAATCCACCCCTCCCCCCATCTGACAGATGAGGAAAATGAGGCTCAGGAATTAAGGGACTTACCGAGGATACATAAGGTTAGTAAGGATCTGAGGTGGGATTCGAACCCAAGTCTTCTGGATGCTAAGTCTAGTGCTCTGTCTACTGGGACACGTTGCCTTTCTATAAGTTTGGTTTAGGGTGGAATCTGACATTTCACAGGAGACAGCACAGTGCCTGGCTCATAGCAGATGCTATAGAAATGCTGGTTATCATCATTCGGTCCAACTTCCCACCAATGCAGGAAGGAAGTCCTTTTACTAAAACCCTGACCAATGCCCATCTGAGTACCTCCAGTGATGAGGAGCTCACTACCTAAAAATCGGCCTGCTCTACAGCTGGGTAGATCTCATTGCTAGGGAGTTGGTCTTCATCCCAAGCTCCTGATTCTGCTCTTTGGGGCCAAGAAGAATTAACCTGACTCCGCTTTCATGAGACATTCCTTCCATGACTTGAAGGGAATGATCATGGCCCCAGGTTTTCCCGGCTAAGTTTCCCAAGATAATCAGTCGTGCCGTAGGGAGTGGGAGAGCCAGAGAGCCAGAATTTAGCTCTGGTACACACATAAAACATGGAGAGAACAGAGGAAGGCCTCTGGCTTGTGGGGTGAACAGTCAATCAATGGTGAATCTATGGAAAAACACAGAAAAGAATCCCTCAGGACAAAAGGGTCTGAAGAGTTGGTGATTTGTCCTGGCACAGACAGAGGTAAGGCAAGTACAAAGCTGGTGAACCGATGACAGCACAGTATGGTGGACAGAATCATAGCTTTGGGTTCAGAAAGACCTGAGTTCAAACTTCAGCCATGCCACTTGCCAGCTGTGTGACCAACAGTCCCTGCCCTCAACAGGCTTGCATTCTACTGGCACAAACAATGACAACACACGGAAGCAAAAACAAACATTTACTCAGTAAATACGAGGTAATTTGGAGGTCCTAGAAGATGGTGGGGAGGGGAATCAGGAAAGGCTTCATAAGTCACTTCTCTAGGGTTTATTTTCCTGATCTATAAAATGGGAGATTATATTATGCATACCGTCTGGAGTTACTATGAGGCGGGCACCAGGGAAAACAGTAAAGAATGAGATAAATGAGAGCAAACCTCATTATTACTAGGATCAAGCCTGCTGTCAACTCCTCCCCCCCACCAAGGTCTCACTTTTTACACAAATTACATCTAGACCATATAACCCTGACTTCTAATCATGTTGCTGACTTTTTGGACCTAACTGTAAGACCTGACATTTCTTCCTGTTAAATCACCATTGGGCAAAAGCAAACAGATCTTTCCAAGTCAACAGACATTTATCAAAAGGTAGTCCAAGCCTTTTGGGATCCTGAGGCTGTAATTTAATCTATCAGCTCCCCCCCCTCCCCCCTTGCCCCTCCAGTCTAGGGTCACCAGGGTATTCAGTAAGCATGTGGGAATTTGGTGCAACTGCTCTGGAAAACAATTTGGAATTATGCAAGACCAGTGACTAAATTAGCCATGCCCTTCCACCTCACCCCTGGGACTAGATGCTAGGAGATTGTTGACTGCAAGTAAAGACCCACGGCTATAAAAATGTTCACCGCAGCATTATTCGTGATAACAAAAACAAAATGTATCTAATAATTGGGGAGGGGATTCTAGCCCATGAATGTAATGGAATATTAGTTTGCAAGGAAGAATTCCAGCCTCAGACACTTGGTAGCTATGGCACCATGGACAAGGCTAGAAGACTTGTAGGAATCCTTCAAAGGGAGGACAGGGAAATTTTTTAAAAACAGCCTACTTAAGGATAGAAATGAATGAATGAATGAATACATGAATGAAGCATTTATTAAGTGCTTACTAGGTGAAAAGCACTGTGCGCAAACAGAAAAGTCAGTCCCTGCCCTGGAGGAGCTTCCATTCTAATGGGGAAGGTTTCAGCGGCAGGTCTGGCAGACTCCTTTCATGGTCCTTCGACAAAACAAATGCTCAGGCATCTTCTTTCACGTCCCAGTCACCCATTAAACCATGTCAGTTTTGAACCATTTGACAACGATGCCAACGTTGAAAGACAAGAAAATTCTGAATTCAATAGTCAGTGTTTGTTCAGAACTCCAAATTAAAGGACACATCCTTCCTTGATTTTCTTTTCTTTTCCTTTTTTTTTTCTTTTGGGCAATGGGGTTAAGTGACTTGCCCAGGATCACACAGCTAGTAAATGTCTGAGGCCAGATTTGAACTCTGGTCCTCTTGTCTCCAGGCCCGGTGCTCTGTGCACCGCACCGTTCGCTGCACCTCCTTCCTTGCTTTTCAACAACTGATAAAACTATTTTCTCCTGGAATTTATTTTGCAAACAGGTTGGTTTGGGTGCACAGTGGGACGTGTCTGTGGCATCAAAACCAAGGAAATACCCACTTGATAAGCAGGTAACCCACACTTTCCAGCCGAGTCAGGGCTCCCTCTTCTACAGGAGAGCCCTTCAAAGCCGGGAAGATGACGATCTCATCTCACTCACTCCCGGTCATCTCTTCTTTGGGATAAACCATCCCAACTGCTTCTCGTAGCAATAATAACTCACGTTTGCCTAACACTTTGTAGTTTACTAAATTTTTGTTCAGTATGGACCCCATAAGAGAAGTACTTCAAATACTGCTATCACCAAATTACAGGGGAGGAAACTGAGGCTCAGTTAGCCTGTTTGCCCAACTGGGACTCACACCAAGGAAGGCTGGCTCAGGGCTCAGCATGTTCCTCCTCCCCTGTTCCATGCTGCCTCCAGGGTAGTTTTCAGACCCTGGCCTCACATCCTCAACCCCTACTCTGTGTTTGGTCCAATTCTGACGCAGGGGCCTGCAGCAAGCTACTGAAGAGGTAGTTTGTGGGTAGCTAGAGCCCCAGGTCTGGAGTCAGGAAAACCTGAACTCAGACCCAGCCTCAGACACTTACTAGCTGTGGGACCCTGGGCAAGTCACTTTACTTCTAGCTGCCTCAGTTTCCTCAACTGTAAAGTGGAGATAATAATAGCACCTACCCAGGGTTGTTGTGACGATCAAATAAGATAATATTTGTATGATGCTTGGCACAATGACTGGCATACAGTAGGCATTTAATAAATGCGTGTTCTCTTCCTATTAAAGAGTTCATTCCAGGTTAGCATAATCCATAAACATTTGAAGCTGGAAGCAATCTTAGGGACAACCTTGCTCAACTACCTTGTTTTGTAGATGAAGAAATCAACCAATTAATGAGCATTTATTAAGCACCTACTATATGCCAGGCACTGTGCTAGAGATACAAAAATGAAACAGACCCTGCCTTCAGGGAGCTTACAATCAGCCAGGGGAAGCAATTCGTAAACAGGTGAGCATATGCAAAATAAACAAGGTAATTTTGTGGCGGGGGGGGGGGGGGGGGCAGCTAAGTGGCCCAGGAGATAGCTCGCTGGACCGAGTCAGGAAGACCTGAGTTCAACTCTGGCCTGATGCTTACTGGCTGTGTGACCCTGCCTCAATTTCCTCTTCTGTAAAAATAAGCTGGAGAAGGAAATGGCAAACCACTCCAGTATCTTTGTTAAGAAAACCCCAAATGGGGTCACGAAGAGTCAAATTGACCAACACAATTTTGCTGGGCACAATACTAGCAACTGGGTAGGGTGGGGAGCTGCAGCTGTTTTATCCAGCTGTCAATCTTCCCATGACAGCTCAAAAAGCATCTGTGTTCTGGAGGCAGCAGCCTGAGACCCACTAAGCTCACTTGGATTAGACTACCTTTAACCCCTCTTCCTGTCTTTTCTAGAAACTTCCCTAGCCCTTCTTTGCACTCTCCTTGACTGACGCGTCATCTCCCTGCCTGTGGCATCAGAAATGAGAATCAATCAGATGTGAATAACAGGCAGAGTGGCATGGATAGAACAATGGAGTTGGGAGTCTGGGGGACCTGGGTACATATCCTGCCATTTCTGATAATTCAACCCCAAGCCAGGTCACTTTCACTTTTTTTCGGTCTCATTTATCTAATCTGTAAAATGGGGATAATAATAGCACCTATCATGAGGATTAAATGAGTTAATGCATATAAAGGTGCTAGAGGACACAGCAGATATGATGATGAGAACCTCCCCCAGCCCTATAAAATCCCCAGCCTTCAGCACCACAGCAAGCCATCCCAGCAAAAGATAAAGGACCCAGGTGAAACACATGCTGGCCAGGGAGTTGAGTGTTGCAGAAACAGGCCCTGTTGGAGGGTTGCCTCTCCCAAGCATTCTCACCAACTTATCCCCACCTTCTTCCTGCTGTGGCTTGAGGACCATAATGGCCAAGGCTCCCTCCCCTTCTCGCAACTGAGACCCCAACGTCTCCTCTGCCCTGAACCTCTCTTCCCACTGTGCCCACTTTTCCATGCTCTTGCCTCCAAGTGAATTTCAGATGCTGGCTTTTCTTGAGTGAAGCCACACTAAAGGATTATCGCTTTACTAACTGCTGACCTTTCGGAGTCTTTTAACCATCTCTTAAGTCTCACACCTGTTGAGCTAAACTGGGGCACTACCTAAATGTACTATCACCTAACCCACATTTATCCATGTGGAAACTGTAACAAACCTAAGACATGCTACATCTCCGGTATTCTGATGACCTACCTAAGAGAACAGGAAAGGGGGCTCCACCACAATGAACCCATGCTGGCTCTAATGATCACTGCTTTCTTTTCTAAGTGCCCAGAAACCATCAGTTCATGAACGTAAACGAGAATCTTCCTGAGTGATCAGTATTAAGTTTGGCAGTCTGCACTTTCTGGAATCCACTTTTTTCCCATTCTTGAAAATCTGAACCTTTGTCCATCCTGAACATTTCAGCATCTCTCTTGGGCTCCATGATTTCTTAGTCACTGACAATCATATTTTCAGTCTTGAAGATGGTATTACACTGTCTTGCTTCACTCTTTGGGGAAAGCACTTTATAAGTCAACAAGTTCAGTAAACAAACGTTTATCAAAGGAATTTGGGTGTTTGTTGGGAAGTGCCCCACTGTGTAAGAACAAAACGTAGCAATTTAAACATTTTGTTTAAATTTGTTCCTTTTTTTTTCTTTTCTTTTTTGGCAATTGAGGTTAAACGACTTGCCCAGGGTCACACAGCTAGTAAGTGTCAAGTGTTTAGTCTGAGGCCACATTTGAGCTCAGGTTCTCCCGACTTCAGGGGAGGTGCTCTATCCACTGCGCCACCTAGCTGCCCCTTAAATTTGTTAAAAGAAAAAAAATTTCTGACAAAGATTCTTGGATCCCAACTAAATTAAATTGTTTCTCATCCGGTGAGATGAGAGCTTGCTAAGGAAGCCAAGAGCCCAAGAATGATGCCTCAGTTTGCTGGCCCGGGAGAGATTGGAGGTGGCACTGGCTGAAAGAGAGGAAAATGGGTAGAACAGACAGGACAAGAATAAGGTAAAGAAGTCAGGCACCACGTAAAGCCAAGTGTGCCCAGGGATGAGGAGGGTAAAGGGTGAGGGTCGAGAAGGGGCTCCAGCTAGGTTCACGTAGAAGAGAAGAGCTGAATGAGTTTCAGGTGGGAGGGTGAAGGGAGTGTGGGCCAAACCACAGAGGATGTGGAAGGACGAGTGTTGACGGTGGCAGGAGATCTATTATCTGAATGGCACCCAGGAAGGGACAAATCCCAAGCCAGGCCAGGAGAGAAACAAGGTTCCCCCAGAAAGTGGTGTAGGGAGGGCAGCAAATACCAGTCCAACTCTCTGCTGGACCCCTGAGGGTTAACCCCCCATCTTCTCCAACCATACCACCCCCCTGCCACCCCAACGCCACCTCCCTTTAATCACATCTGATACTGAGCAGCCCAGCAGGGAACAAAGAGGCCATTTAAAGAAACGGGGCCGAGAAAATGACCCCCGCACTCGGGGCGGCGGCCCAGGATGCCTGCACAAAGGCGGCATTTCAGGACTGAAATTTCAGTGCCCGATGTGATTAAAGGATTCCATGAGCTTGGGGCGGGGGTGGAGGGTGGGTGATGGGGGGGAGGGCCAGAAAGGCCACAGCTCAGCTCCACAGATTAACCCTCTCCCACCTGGAGAGTCATCAGCTGCCCCCTCACCCCAACCAGAGCTGCCAATAACTCAAGCCAGCTCGTCCCTTCCCTCCCCATACTGGCCGAAGCAGGTTGGGGTCCTTCCGACTCCTGGGCCGAGGCAAAGTGCACGGGGACAGCAGAAAGGCTCAAGGGATCCCAGGGAAACTTCATAGTCCTCTGAGACAGGGAGGAAGTGAGCTCAGTCACCCCATGTTACCTCCGGGGGAGCAGAACATGCACATGGCACTAGGGGGTGGAGAGGGGAGGCCCTGCCTCACATCAGAGAGAGAGCCAGGAGCAAGGCCAGGACCAGGCTTCTCCCACTGCCCGCCTGCCCTGGCACGGAGAAGGACCAAAGGGAAAGAGGAGGGCCCGGAGGGGTGTGGGCAGGGCCCAGGGCCTGAGAGGGGTGCACCGAGGGGCAAAGCAGGTGTCAGACCCTCTGCCGGACACTGATTTGTCCAGGGGGTTCCCGACAGGGCCAGGTGAGGGGCTGGGGGAGGGGGGAGAAGGCTGACTCCAGGCCTGCGCTTCCTGCTGAGACGCTGCCCCTGAAAGGGGATCCCGATGGGTGATAAGGGCTTGAGGCAGGTCCTCAGGAAACAATGGGTGGCTTGATGAGACCTGCTCTGTGATACTCCTGAGAAGCCCCCGAAGTCAGTCCCCATCGGAGGAAATTGGAGGTTTCCATGGCAACCAGCTCCCTGGGCACAAAGGCCGGTCTGTGTGCTGGGGAGACAGCTGAGGTGTCTCCCTCCCCTGCGGCAGCCACGGCCTCTTGGGAGTGGGGCTGGGGGAGAAGGAGCTGGGGGGGGGGGGCGCGTGCGGGGGGCTGGAGAGGTTCGTAGAGAGCCGAGGGGTGACAGGAGCAGTGGGCCGGGGGCCAACACAGAGCCTGGCAGTGGCACCCAACGGGGAGGCAGCTGGACTAAGGAGAGCAGGAGAGGGTGAATAGGCTTTATTATCCATAGAGAAAAACAAACAGAGCATCGCGATGCCCAGGGGCCGGGCCGGGCCGCTCAGTCGGTGATGATGAGCTCATCCACGCCCCAGTCTTCGTAGCTCCCATCGGGCAGGTAGCGGCGGATGATGATGGGGATTTTTCGAGCCCTGTGGGCGGAAGGAGAGGCTTGAGAGACAGTAAGCCCCCCCGCCACCCGGGCCAAGCCAGGAGCAGAAGGGCACGGAATGCCAAATTGAAGAGGGGGAAGCCAAAGGCCTAGGAGGCTCTGGTGGAGGAGGAGCTGGAAGCCCCCTCTTTCAGGGCAGCCTCGCCCCGTACAGGGCATCCGTGTGGGACCGCTGGAGAACCAACGCGGGCGAGAGGCAGGAGCGGGGAGGGGGCTTCGGGGCTCTCAGAAAACTCACTTGAGCTCTTTCATGGCGATGAGCAGCGGGTCAGTCTCCCCTTCTAGCTCCACCATCACAGGGGCACACATTCTGCAGGGCACAAAGGGACAGCTGAGGGAGGGGAGAGCTGGGGAGACAATGGGATGGGTCTGGGAGCCTGCAGAGTCTGAAGCCACTGGCTTGCTGTGGAACAGGAAGCAAACCAGCGAGCTCCCCTGGGCCTCAGTTTGCTCATCTGTTCAATGGTGGCACTTAAGCAGATAAGCTCTCAGGCCTCTCCCAGCTAGGACCTGAGATGTTCTAAGGTCCTTCCCAGTTCTCAGCTCTGAGTTCTAATTCTAAGGGTCTGTCTGGGTTACCCCTCCCAGCTCACAGATTCTGTTCTCTGTAACTAACACTCTGTTCCTGGCCCTGGTTTTGTGCGTTCTCTCCCAGATAACTGCAGATGGAGACGACCTTCCGTTGCAGCCTCCAGGATGGGCAGGATTTGGGAAGGACAGTCCAGCCACAGGGACAATAAGAACTCACGTTTCTATAGCAATGAAAGGGCTGGGAAGTGGGTTCCTACTGAGATGAGTAACACAAGCCCGATCACCTCCATTTTACACAGGAGGAAACTGAGCCTCAGCCAGGGAGAGGCTGCTCAGGGTCACAGCTGTCTCCAGCCTTCAGGCCTCCTCAGCCTCGATGGGCCCATTTCTCCTCTGCACAACGAGGGCGGTGCCCGAGATGACCTTTCCGGGTCAACAAGTACACATACCCCTAACCCAGGAGAAATGCCCCAGGCCTAGCTGTGTCTCTGTATCCCTGGCATCAAGCACAGTGCCCAACACACAGCAGCATACAATTAACAAATGCTCGTTCGCTGACCGACTAAGCCCTCAGAAATGGCCGTACTGAGCCACGGTCTCACGACCACCAGCGAGGCAGGGACTGCACGGCCCCTCCTGGGCCTTTGTTCCTGCTCTTTCTCCTGCCTAAAAAGCAGGAGTTGGGTCTCTGCCAGTTCCACCATCCTCCCCACGCCACCTAGACAGCCCACCTCCTCCAGGAAGTCTTCCCAAGAGCTGTGGCTACTGCTGCCACTGCTCACATGCATCTCCATCTTCTTGCCCTTCTCTGGACAGCACCGCACTAGGCCCCAGCTGTATTCAGACTGATGCACATCCTATCTTCCCAACAAGATCCCAGGCTCCCCAGGGGCAGGGAGCACATCTTATTAATAACTATTAGAGCAGCACTCTCCTCCCAACCGCCCTGGAAGAGCGGCTGGGGTATAAGGCTTAAGGGCCTGGGATGACCCAGCTGCTACGGCTCCAGGGCAGAACAGGCCCTGATCCCAGAGCCCTGACTCCAAGCCCAAGCTCTCATCCCTTCTCTTTCCCCCTGAACCACAAGGTGAAAAACGAGCCTTAGATCCACACCTTATATCCTATTCCACAATAAACTCAAAATGGACCCTCGACCTGAATGTTAAAGATCATGCCATTAGCAAATTAGAAGAGAAGCTACACGGCACCATGGGAAAGGTACTAGTCTTAGTGCTAGGAGACCTCAACAGGAAGCCTACCCCTAGTCTCAGTTTGCTCATCTATAAAATGGAGGGAATGACACTGTGTGCCACCTCCCTTGCTGGGGTGCTGAGGCACATGCTTGCGCTGAACAAAGGAAACTCAAACCATCGGCACGAGAGGAACCGTCGGAATTTACCTAGTGCAGGCCTCTTCGAGAAAGCCGGGCCGGAGGGAGGACGTCACCTGCCCGTGGTCACCAGGCAGTCTGGTTCCCTTGGGGGCCACAGAGCGTCCCACACAATCGGCCCTTGTCCAGGGCCCCTTCTTGCCCCCCCAGGGGAGGGGTGTTCTGTGGATGGCCTCCTCTCCTCTCTCATTTCACGAGATCAGAGGAAACCTCAGCTGGAAGGATCCCCAGGGCACAGCAGCAAACCCAAGAGGCCGTGTGGCCTGAGGTCAGTCGCTCCCCGGTCTGGGCCCTACTTTTCCTGAGTAGAATGAGGGGCAGTTAACTGCAAGTTCTGCATGGTTCCTTCCAGAGCTGATAAGCTAGGAGGCCTCTGGCTGGACTATCACCTTATACTTAGTGGCTGGAGGAACCACCGTTCTTCAGACCCTAAGGGACCAAGAGGAAAGTGACTCCCTCTGCTGGACAAAGCAATTAACCCAGCACAGCTGATGGAGGGAGAAAAGAGGAGGCAACTGAACTCCGAAGAGACCTGTGGGCCCCCAGAGAGACTGATGAAGGAGTCCAGCTCACCTGGGAGAGAAGATGCCCCTCCTTGTCTCCACTGGCCAGATTTCCCATCATGGTAGGGGCTGAGCCTTTCTGGCCTAAGCAAATTATACCAGAAAGCAGCCTGGCCTGGGAGTAATCGTAATAAGAAGGATGGTAACGGCTAACACTTAATCACTGAGAAGCACTCTGCAAAATATTTTGTCATTCAATCTCAGACGACCTCACTTTCAATCCTGATTGTTACTAATGAACTTTGTGACCTTTGAAATGTCATTTCCCACTGCGGGCCTCAATCTCCTGTTTTGTGAAATGGGAGGGTTGAGCCAGACACTGAGGTCCCTGCTAGCTCTAATACCCTATTATCTAAGGCAGGGTGGGGAACCTGCAGCCTCAAAGCCACATGTGGCCCTCTGGAACCTGCAGCCTCAAGGCCACATGTGGCCCTCTAGGTCCTCAACAGCGGCCCTTTGACTGAATCCAAACTTCACAGAACAAATCCCTTAATAAAAGGATTTGTTCTGTAAAACTGTGGCCATGAGGCTGCAGGTTCCCCACCCCTGATCTAAGGCTCTGCCTCAGGCCCCTCAGGCAAGCCAGGACACTCGCACGGGCCTTGGCTTCCCCATAAAAGGAGCTGATTGGGCAAGATCTGGGGTTTCCAGACTGGGAGGGGCTCACACATTCATACCCACCCCTCACTCTGGCCTTTATTTAGATCCAACAAAATGAAGTGTGGCTAATGAGTTTGTGATGATGTTTTTATGAGCGATGTTTAATAGGGAAAAAATGTGTCTGTCCTTGAGCTCCAGATCTAGAATTGAAGGCTTCATTTCAACCAGACGTCCGCTTTCTAAAACTCAGGGCCTGCCCCCTCTCAGCAGACAACTCCTTAGTCTAACAAACAAGCACGATGCGTGTTCCGGAGATGAATGAAAAAGACCTTGAACCTGGGAATTCATGACATAAAACGTTCATTCAGAGGCCCGACGGAGCCTATAGGATAACATCGACCACATGTGTGAATGCTTTTGTTAAAAAAAGGCCCTCCTCCTTGGCAACATGCGTACTCTGCAATGCTGTCCGCTGAAACGCTCTCCAAACTCACTTTCTTCGAGCTCTGAGGCCTAAAAGGACCACGGGGCAGTGCCTACAGCACGGGGGAGTGACCACCAGGTGGTGCATCACAAGGCTAGAGAAGTAGCCGGCTTGTCCTACGTGGCAGTGACCGCCAGGTGGCAGGCTGGAGCCGACGCAGACCTTGCCCACCTGCGCAAACCCTACCAAAGGCTGTCAACCTCATGAGGGGCCAGTGAGCAAACCCCCGGATAACTCTTCCCTTTCTATTCTGATTCCAAAGTTAAACGTCAGTTTAAGCTGAGCTTGCTCAACCCATGGCCAAGAACTAATCGATCTCTTTGGCGAACACTCCCTCTGTGAAGGCCCAGAGCTGGACGCATGACAGGACACAGAGACTGCAAAACAGAGGTCTTGGCGTCAAGGAGCCCAGAAAGTCAAGAGAAGCCTTGCAAGGAGGAGCAGCACAGGAGGGCCCTCTGAGCTCAAAGCCCTCCTATCACGTGCATTTCAGACGATCTCAGAGACAGAAGGAAACCAAGTCCTCCAGTCCAACCTGAGCAGGCCCCTGCTCCGGCCTCTGCCTGCGGCCCTCAGCGATGGAGACCCCACCAGCCGCCAAAGTAGCCTCCTCTATGGGGCGATGGATCAAACTGCTACAGACAATTCTCCTTCTGGGGCAGCTAGGTGGCGCAGTGGATAGAGCACCAGCCCTGAAGTCAGGAGGACCTGAGTTCAAATCCGGCCTCAGACCAAACACTTGACACTTACGAGCTGTGTAACCCTGGGTGAGTCACTTAATCCCAATTGCCTAAAAAAAAAAAAAAAAGAAAATTCTCCTTCTATCAAAAGCAGAAATGAGACTCCATGGGCTCATAAGTCAGAGGACTCAGGTGTGAATCTTGCCTAACAATGACCACTCATGGGCAAGTCTCTGGGCTGGGCCTCCTCCTCCTCTTGTAAAATGGAACAATTGGCCCGAGTCTGACCCTCGTCCAACCGTGCCAAGAGCCCCAGAGGTCACAGGGACCAAAGGACAGCGCCCCCAGCCCCCGCCTCCCCGCCTCGTGCTCTTCCTGCCACACACCGTCGTCATCATCATCTTATCAAGCCAAAGTCTGCCTCTCGTTTTGCCTCCTGAGCCCAGTGAAGGGCAGCTGGTCCCCCTGCCCGTGCCAGTCCCTCAGATGTGGGAGGACAGGCATCACACACCTCCCCCCCACTCCACCTTCAACCACATTATCCCACACTTGCTGAACAAACACCAGCTTGTCAAAATCCTGCCTAAAACGTAGCCTCGGCATGAAGTCAGCACTGCAGATGTGGCCAGCCCTGGGCAGCGGCTCCAGGGGCTACCTAGGTGCTGGTTGCCACGCCCCCCTCAACAGAGCCTCAAGTCCTCTGGACTCTGTTTCTGTCGCTTTCTCTCTCTTCCACCCGAGTTCAAATCCAGCCTCAGACACTTCCTAGCTGTGACCCTGGGCAAGTCACTTCATCCTGGTTGCCTCAGTTTCCTCATCTGTAAAATGAGCTGGAGAAGGAAATGGCAAACCCCTCCAGGATCTTTGCCAAGGAAACCCCCAATGGGGTCGCAGAGAGTCAGACATGACTGAACAACAACCAAACAACAACATTTCTTTCTCTTCATCCCCCCACCTTCTCTCTGTCTTCACACTGTCAATGCTAATGAAATCAGCACCTGAATGAAATGACTAACCCTCCAGCCCTCAGTCTTTTCTAATGATGTGGTCCAGCCTCACCCTTCTTGCTCTGAAGTCTTCAGCTGACAATTCTGAACCCCCACATAGCGGTTACCCTTCATTTCTTTCAATCTCCCCTTGTTAGACTCAGTCCACGTGCCTGTCACCCACACATCTGACAATCACACCTGCTCCAAACCACTGACAGAAAAGTTGAACAGAACGCGGCCAAGAACAGACTCCCAGGCACTTTCATGAGACCCAGAAGAGAAAGTTCTTGCCCCCAAAGTCTTGGGGCTGTCAGATCGTTCAACATCAACAAGTGACGATTTTATCAGTGGGGGTGATGCCCACCATCCGCTCTGCCGCTGCCCCCCAAGGCCCATGGGACACATCCATCCGACTGGCAGCTGAAGCCTGCCCTCAGCGCTGTCTCCTCCATTAGAACGTGAGCTCCTCGAGGGCAGGGCTGACTTTGGCCCTGGTGCTTAGCAGTGGTGTGTACAAAGGAAGAACTTAATACATGCCTCACTCCTTCGCTCATCCATCCATCCATCCCTACCACTCCTCCCAGGCCCCAATCCGACCCCCCAGGAGAGAGGAATCTCTTCTTCAACAAACTCACCCCCTGGATCTGTCCCTACGTCTCTACTATGCGCTGGTATCGTTTATGGCAGTTTTCTGGGCACCTGCTCCACTGAGACAACAGGCTCTTTTCATTCACCAATCCATCACTTGACAAGCATTGGTTAAATGCCTAGTACAAGGGTGGGGAACTTGTCAATCCTTCTATTAAGGGGATTTGTTCTGCAAAGTTTGGATTCAGTTAGAGGGCCGCACGTGGCCTGGAGGCCGCAGCCTCCCCCCCACCCCCCAGCCCCGGCCGAGCAGGTGGAATGCACCGTGCTGTGCACACATGAAGTCAAGCGTCCCCGGCTCAGAGACTCAGAGCTGGGAAGGACCTTTCAGTTCATCCTGCCCAGTCTCCTTTTACATATGAGGAAGGTGAGGCGCACAGAAATGAAATGACTTACCCCAAGTCAAAATGAGCCCTGGGCCTTTGACTTCTGGGTGACTTTGGCAGCTGGTGGCACAGGGGATAGAGTACAGGGCCCGGAGGCAGGAGGACCTGAATTCAAATCCGGCCTTAGACACTTCCTAGCTGTGTGACCCTGGGCAAGTCACTTCACCTGTGCTTCAGTTTCCTCATCTATCAAATGAGCCGGAGAAGAAATGGCAAACCACTCTGGTACCTTTGCTAAGAAAACCCCAAATAGGCAGCTAGGTGGTGCAGTGAACAAAGCTCCAGCCTTGGAGTCAGGAAAGACAGTTCACACTTACTAGCTGTGTGACCCTGGGCAAGTCACTTAACCCCAAGTGCCTCACCAAAAAGTAAAAAAAAAAAAAAAAAAAAAAAGAGAGAGAAAAAGAAAGAAAGAAAAGCAAAGCCCAAATAGAGTCAGACACGAATGAAACAAATGAACAACAATAAAACCTTTGACTTCAACTCTGTGTCAATTTCCTAAGATTTCCTTAGTGTAGTAAGTCCCTTCACAAAAGCACAATGCAACCCATTAATAGCTCAGTGGATTAGGTCTCAGGCAGTTATCATCAAGAGGACATAGCTAGAAGCGACAGGGTTGGACAAGGGCCATGAGGGCTGCATTTGAACCCAAGTCTTCCTGGCTCTAAACTCATCATTTTACCTGCTAAGCCCAGACGCTTTTCAGAGAGAAGACCTAATATCTGCTGAACTGAGATGTCAATGGGGTGGAGGTGGGGGTAGCAGGGAATGAGTAGAAGAGGGAGATTCCCACTTACGCAATCTGAAGGGCCCGGGTGCCCAGGACCCGGGCTCGCTCATACTTGGTCATGTAGGGGGTAGTGATCCTCTTCTGGTTGGCCTGCTGCCGTTCTCCAGAGGGAAGGATCTCCACGTTCTCCTGGCCCTCCTAGAAAAAGGGAGAGGAGATGGGGAAGTTTCCTTTTGGACACAAAAAGTCTAAGGCTCAGATCTAGAGGCTCCTGGCAACCTCAACCAAAGATCATGGTGAAGTAAGACGACAAATCCTCCCAAGAGAGGGCCAGGTGCATGACTTTACTCCACATTTTCCAAGTGGATTAACAGCCACGGAGGCGACAGGTATCTGGCAGAGTCAGTTTGGAGGAATAAAAGTTTGAAAGATTTTGGCTGCCAAACCAAAATTCTATTGACTGGCCACGTCACTGGTCAAATGGAAATGTACTTCTTGTTATGAAACCCCCGTGGAGCTGCCACATCCTGGATCACAGGGTAGATGCTTGTCTTCCAAAGTTACTCCATCCTAGATCTGTCTGCTTCACCTGCAATAAGGGACTGAGAGCCCCAGCAGCCAAGGACAGTCAAAGGATGGGAGGAAAAACCTGCAGTTAACTTGTCTGCAAACACGGCTGCTGGTTCACATGGGGTGGCTGTTCCACTCAATGCCCAGTGGCCTTCTTTGTGGTTCCAGGTGAGGAGAAGAGCCATGAACTAGAATGATACCACGCCCTGCACCCGGGTGACTGGCTGCCAGCCCTGGCTTTGGTTGTGCTGGGGCAGTAAGAGCCCATGGGACAAGTACAGACCTCCTCGGGATTCTCCAAGTCATCGAGACCCTCATCTTCCTCCACATCATCGAAGTCATCACCATCATAACTGCACAGAAAGAAAGCCCCTGTGAACCCGGGTGCTCAGAGAGGGCTGAACACCCTTCCCCACCTCCCCCCATTCTAGCCTGGAGCTGATGGGACAGTGGAAAAGAAGGCTGCATCTGGAGTGGGAGAAGCTGGGTTCGAAGCCTAGCATGGTCACTCAGAAGCTGAGCGACACCCACTGTAAAAAGCAGGAATTGGATGAAGTGAGCCCCAGGCCCCCTCTTTCTCTGGCATCTCTGACCCCAAACTGGCCTTAGGATCTTCAAGGTGAGAGACCCCAAGCACACCCTGAGTCCACAGCATTTACTGAGCACCTACTAGGTGCCAAGTGCTATGCTGGGCACTGAGAATACAGACAGAGCCAAAACAGTCCTTGCCCTCTGGGAGCTTTCATTCTACAAGAGAAAACAACAGGTCCGGACGGAAGGGCCTTCAAGGGCCATGGAGTCCAACCCCCCTCATTTCACATAGGAAACAAGGGAGGCCAACGGAGGGGGAAAAAATCTTGCCCAAGGTCATCCAGGTGGTTAGTGTCAGGGACAAGATCTGAACCCAGGCTTTTCTGACCCTAGACCATTATGCCTCTCTGCCTGTACCACTTTTCAGCCGACCCTCTAATGCTGAGCCACCATCTCCTGCCCTCCCCTGTACCTATTATCCCAGCCCCACCCCTCCCCTCCATCCCCTCTTCTCCCCTCTATCCCCCAGCCCCTCCCCTCCATCCCCCCAGCCCACTCCACCCTCCTCCCCTCTATCTATCCCCCAGTCCCCCCTCCATCCCCCAGCCTCTCCCCTTCATCCTCCTCTCTATCCCCCAGCCCCCCTCCATCCCCCTCCATCTATCCCCCAACCCCTTCCATCCCCCTCTCTCTTCTCTATCCCCCAGCCCCTCTCCTCCATCCCCCTCCCCTCATCCCCCTTCCATCCCCCTCCCTCTATCCATCCCCAGCCCCCCCCATCCCTCAGCCCCTCCCCTGCCCTCCATTCTCAGGCCGCCCTATCTGCCCCTGCCCCGCACTCACTTGTCCTCGTTGTCAGACATGCCTGCGGATCCTCGGGCTCGGGCCGAATGGCCGCCTGGGCCAGGAGGAGCTGTCTGAGGGCAGCCCTTTCTTCACAGAAGCCGACGAGCCCCAGCCCCGGGGCCCGGCCTCACGCGCTGCTCGTGCTCGCGCCGCAGCAACCAAACTCAGGCTTTCTAGCACCCACTTCCGGGTCGGCCCTAACAGAACCCCCTGCGCCTGCGCAGTGACCTTAGCGTTTACGGAATTTCCGGTAATCGGGGAGGGGGGCGGAACCTCGAGCTCACGGGGCGACGAAGGGTGGTAAAAGGCCAGGGGGCGGAGCCTGATGCCAGGAGGGGGCGTGGGGCTGCCGTTGTCATGGCAAAGAGGAGCCGGAGAGCTCTGAGCCGGGCGCGCGGCGGTTCCCTCGGTAGCCGGAGCCAGAGGCGGAGGCGGAAGCAGATCCGGGAGCCGAGACTGCTCCGGTGCAGTGCCAGAGCCCGGTGCGCGTCCTTTACAGCGGAGGCGGAGCCGGGAGGTACACAGGGGAGGGAGAGCCAGAGGAGAGGAGCTGGAGGGGAGGAGCCGGTGTTGCCATGGCACCCGGAGGCGGGGCCTAGAGGGGAGGTGGATACGTAAGCGCTGGCGGAAGGGGCGGGGCTTGAGAGAGGTAGCTCCGCGGTGCGTGGCTAAGAAGGTGCCGGAGGCGGGGCCCAGAATGTTCGTGAAGGGGCGGAGTCTGAAGGGAGGGAAAGGACTCGGCCGTTGCCATGGTACCGGAGGCGGACCCTGGAGCGCTCCCGGAGTGGCTAGGCCTCTGGGAGCGGCGAGGGTTGTGCGGTCGCCCAGGTACCAGAAGCGGGTTGCCATGGCAGTGTGGGCGGGGCCAGGGGCCCTGGAGGCAAGCAGCCGTTGCCATGGTAGCCGGAGGTGCCCGCTGCTCTGAGCCCTATGGACCGGGTGGGGAGACTGGAGCGGTCCGGAGCCCGGCCCTGGGGGAGAGGGGACCCAGGGAGGGTGGCTGTGGGGGGCCTGTCGCGCTAGTTGTGACACCATAAGCGGGAAGTCTCGTCCTTTGCGTCGCTGCGGGTCCTCTGTAGCGATTGCCTGCCCTTGTCCCCCCAAGTGCAGCCCGTTCCCCCAGCTCCGGACATCTCTGGAGGGCAGCAGATGCTTCCTATCAGGCCTGGCCTGGGAAGAGCTGAAGCCGGACCGCCAGGGGTCGGAGGAAGCCCAGAGCTGCGGGGAACCTCCGGCCACCGAGGCCAACCCCCCTTCCCCCAATCCTGCTCAGAGGGGCTGCTCTAGGAAGTAGTGAGTTCCCTGTCACTGGAGGTCTTCAGGAAGTCTGAACGACGGCTGGTTCCAAACGCTGGAGAGATTTCCTCCCATTCTAGAGCTATGATACTATGATTCCCTCCGACCCTACTCCGTGATAAGTGATAGTCCAGTCTCCTATTTCCAGTTAGAGGGAACCTCTTCCATTTTTGAATAGCTCTAATTGTTAGGGGGTGTATTCCGACATCAAGCATAAATCTGCACCCCCGACTCTTACTTGTCAGACTGCTCTCTGGGGCTGAGCAGAACGGGCATCCCTCTGTAGAATGACCCTTCTAGTGCCTAAGGACATCGGGTGTTTCCCTCTCCCAAGACCTCTCTACTTCCGCAACATCACCAGACCTGAAATCTCATCTTAAGCAAGTCACTGCCCTCCCCAGGCCTACTTCCAAGAGATCTCCTCTAGCTCCTAACACTATGGGAAGGCTAGTCCTGAAAGACTTTCTCTTCCACCCCTAGGGTTTTGCCATGGCGACAAAGGGGAAATCAGGAGCTGTGGCCAAAGGTACTGGCTTCTGGCACTCACCCCAATCCACCTACACCCCAGAAACCTGTCAGCTGCTTAAAGGTCAGTGGGGGAGCAGCACTGAAGGAAGGGCCGATCAGAAAAGGGCCCCAGCATGGCTGAAAGCCAGCAGCAATCATTTCAACTGTTTGTTTTCCAGTGATGATGGAGGAGTCCAAACTCACCAATTTCCAGCAGCGGCAGCTCATGGATTCGATGAAAAGTAATTTGAAGCCCCGATCCTCTTCCTGCCTGTCCACTGCCCTCCCCACCCCTTCGCTTTAAGGGCACAGCAGTGGCTGGCTACATAGCTGACCGGGCACCTCTCCCTTACCGCCTAGAGGTTCCTTTGGGATCATTATATGATGTGTCATCTCCCCCATCTATAAACTAGTCTGTCTGTTTGGGAGGGTGGTGGACATTCCGTCTTGCTTCCACAGAAGTCACCTGCTTGGTTTGACTGGGAGAGGAATCTTGAGCGAGACCTCACTTCTGTTGGCCTTAACTTTCTCAGTAAAGTGGGAGATGGCTCAGCTGTTCAATGGTGCAGGATTGGGGTGGAGTCTTAACTTGAAAAGAGTGGGCAGTAAAGGTGGGGCTCCACAATCCTGTAAGACAGTTCTCCACACTCTGGGCAGAACCTGGCTCTCCAAACCCTTTTCCCACTGCTCGCCTTTGGGGAAATCCTCTTCCATAGCCAATCAGGCTGCCCTTACACTCCGTGGACATTCCTCTTCACCCCAAAGTCTTTGTCTCACTCCCCTTATCCAAATCTTGCCTATCTTTTAAGACCTGTTCATATCCCACCTTTCCAGTGAAGTATTTCCAGCCTAGGCCATAGCCTTGGTCTCTCTTCTACCCCGTCTAACTGCTGTGGTACTGATTACCTGAGCTATTCCTAGGCTGGGTACTGGGGCTGGACCTGTAATTTGATAGAGAGACTTCCCAAGTGAGGACAGTCACTCTCCCTTCTCTGCAGCCTTAGAGAGCTGCTGAAATCCCAGAAAAGGTCACCCAGCCAGGACGTCAGAGGCCAGTTCCCTACCCACTATGCCTTGCTGCCTGTCCTGTGCCCTGTGCCAGGGTTACAGATGCAGAGCTGGGACCTCTGGGATCATCCATTCCAGCCCCTTCCCAGGAAGAAGCCAGGATCTGAGCCGGGGTCCTCCTTCTCTAAAGCTGCTGCTGCCAGCATCCTTCCTTCCTTCCTAGCCCATGCTCTCCCATGTGTGGCAGACTCCCTCCTGGTCTTGTCATGGGAAACGTCCGTCTTTGGTCTGTGGAGCTGCTCCTTCCCTCTGCTTGAGCTCACTGCCAGAGTCACTGATTCTTCCTGCCCACGTTTATGGAGGGCCTGCTAGATGCAACACCCTGACCTAGGTGCTAGAAGCAGGACGTAAAGATGTCTACGTGGCCCTGCCCTCTGGGGGCTTCCAATCTAGTAGAGGGCCATGATTAACCAGGACAGACATTGGGTTAAGTGCATTAAGGAGTTGCCAACTTTAATGAAAACTTACAAAGTGAGAGGGTGTTACTTCCAGGGACTCTGCAGGAGAGCCCATGACTTCAGGGTGTCCTGCTCAGCTAGGGGCTGGCCTAGGCCTTGGAGCTCCCCTCCAGCTGGAGGCTCTGGGGTACAGCACAGGCCCAGGGACAGGGATGTCCCTTCCTAAGCCCTTAGTAGATAACATTCCTTGGCCTCCCTGGCCCTTCCTTCACATCCTCCTCCTGCCTCCAACCTCATCCCCTCTGCTGACCCAGACAGTACCCTACACTGGTGGAGATCTGCCACTGAAGCCCTGTAAGGGCACTCATCCCTATCAGACATTTAGGGAAACTGAGGCTCAGAAGGGGAAGGGGCTCGAAAGTAGCCGACCAAAGGTGGGGCTCCTGGTTCCTGGGCCTTGGCCTTCTTTCCATTCCTGTCTCTCCCCAGGAGGTGATGCACTACCTTCTCGCTGCAATCCAGCGTCTAGCCAGAAGCCAGTGCCCAAGCAAGTAAACGACTTCTATCTGCCGCCCATCCTGACCCCAAGGCCCCACCTCCGCCCTGCTGAAGTCTGCCAGGCCAATGAGGCCTACGCCCGAGACCAGTTCAAGCCCAGACCTTGTCGTAAGTGACGAAGCTCTGGGCCTGGGGGAAGTGGCCCAGAATAGGGAGATGAGGCACTACTGACCTCTGGGGACCACGACTGAGGACAGGCGTTGAAACAGGGCAAGGTCTCCCACCCAATCCAACGTGTGCAGCAAATGCCCCTCAGAATGAGCGAGGCAGGAGGGAAAGGGGAAAAGACAAAATCCACAAAACTCACGTGTCCAAAGGAGATTTATTGGGGGAGACATGGTGAGCTGAGCAGGGCCTGAGGGCGGTGCTGGGGCTGCTGCAGCTCGCTCTCTCCCTGCCCCACCTCAACAGGGGCAGAGGACGTCTGTCATCCATCCATCCATCCTTCCTTCCTCCCTCCCTGAGCCTCGTACTGAGAGTGGGCCTCTCATTCCGTCTCCATCACCAAAGCATCATCCAGCCATTTGGCACCACTCGCTGCCCTGTCTCTGCCCAGCACACAGAGCCCTTCCACTCCTCTCTCTCCCAGAGAGAGGGATGCCCTTAGGGGTGAAAGGCACCCAGGCAGGCTGGGCACAGGTGTGCCTGCTTAGCCCGAGGATGTGTGCCCTCCCTCACACCTGGGTTCTTCTTGGGAACCCGCAGGAGACACAGAGAAGGAGAAGGAGCGGCTCCAAGACATATTTGCCAACGGGAAGGATGGCACTGAGAAGAAGAAAAAAAAGCAGTCTGTTCGGCAGGCCAAGCCTCTGCCCTCGGACCCGGAGCCAGATAGATTTGAAGAATGTAAGGCACTAGAGTATGCCCAGGGCCCACGAGGGTGTCCCGACCTTCCTCCTGGGCCACCTCCAGCAAGGCACAGCCTGTCTCTGTCACCCAGGTGGCTTCCGAGGTCCCCTCCTGCTCTGAGCCTCGTGCACCTTGGGCCCATGGCGATGTCACGGGCCAGATCCTCACTCACCTTCAAGGGCAGGCCCACGGCCCTGGAGAACACAGCCCTTCCTCGCCCAGGCCCATTATTCCTCTCCCTCTGGTCAATTCAGGGCAGGGCCTTTGGACGGGCCTGGAGAGCTCCAGCCCCATCTTCCTGTGTGTGAATGAGTTTTCTCTCCCCCTCAGTGGTGAAGGAAGTCCGGGAGAGGCAAGAGTTCCTGGCCGAGATGCAGGCCCTCGGACAGGGCAAGCAGTACCGAGGAATTATCCTTACTGAGATCTCACAGGTAGGACCCGAGGGCTGCAGGGCAGCCTGGGGGTGCAGGTGGCTGCTGCGGCTCCCCTCCCCTGACCATCCTTTGTGCGCTGCCCTCTGCAGAAACTGCGGGAAATGGAAGATATCGACCAGAAGAGAAATGAGGGGCTGCAGAAGGCGCTGCCCAAAGCCTCTCCTTAAGGAGCCGACACCGTCGTCTTGCCCCCTGGTAGCGCTGAGGTCCTGCATTGGTCACCCTGCCCGCCGTGCTCCTGGACCCCGGCATCCTCCAAACACACGACTGGTGGGGGCGGAGAAGGCCCACTCCCAAACAGCTGGCCGGCTGGCCAGAGGCCAAGAGACAGTGCCCAGCCAAACCCACCACTGCCTATGGGGGAGGAAGGCCCCACGCAGGAGGAGACCACGGCAGCAGAGGGGTCTCGTCCCATCGGCCCTAGCTCTAAGCGTGGAAGGCCCCTTCTTCCTGCTGGAAGCTTGGGAGAGAACCAGCTCCTTTGTGTCACCTACGTCAGGCCCTACTTCTGACATCTCCCAACGTGGGCTGGAGTCCTTTGAGCCATGGGGGTGGGAAGACCAATAAAACTGTCTTGGTACGAGCCTTGGGGAAACGGCAGCTGTTTCTGAAGGGACAAATCGCATGTTAGTGGGTTAGAACTTTAGTACCCTGACTGCTTCGGGGCTAGGAGCTAGGAGCTAATTAACAGCTGACCTGTGTCAGTGCTTTAGAGGTGTGCAAAACATCTTTCCTGCCCCATGATCACAGAAGGAGAGCCATCTAGTAGTCAACTAGTGAAGACCACCCCAAAGCAGCCGCTTCCATTTTGGGCAGCTTTCCAAAGCCGAGCCAACGGCACAGCACCCATGGCTCCCGGCTTCGCCCTCTGGGGCCAAACAAGACGGCTCTCACCGTCCCTCCACGAGGCTGCCCCTGCCCTGGCTGTCCTCCTTACTCAGCCTAACTAGCCTCCTTCCTCTGCCTCAGACTATGGGCCTTCCCCATTGAGGCTGCCTCCTCTGGACACTCCAGGGTGCCCGCATGCTCTCGAGGTGGTCTGCCTAGGGCTTAGCCCCTCGTCCCGAGAAGCCTGGCCTTTCTCAAGCAGCCCAAGATCGCCATGGCTCTCTTGGTGGCCACTGCACACAGTTGTCCAGTCATCCCCCAGGGGCTTCTTTAGACAAACTGCTACCCAAGCCTCCCCCTGTATCTGGTCCGTCTAAAATCAAGTAGAATGTGCTTCTCTCCCTCAAGCCTCACCTTGCTCCGTCATGGTGCCATGTTCCTGCCTGTCACAATCTATGTGGATCCTGCGTGAGCTCCACCCCCCGCCCTATGGCCCCCACACATGGATACACACATCGTCCATGCCCTTCTCCAGATCACAGATAAAAACGTCCCAACAGCCCAGATCCCTGGGGATCCCCACTTGGACCCTCTCCACCTAGGGAGGCAGGCAAGTGGCAGGAGTACTTTATACATGAAACACAGCGTGCTTTGGCCTCAGAGGCCTCCTCCTGACCCCAGCACCGGACGCCCGCCACGCTTTCTTACCACTCATCTCTTAACGGCTGCCTTTCAGATATTACTAGGTTGCATTTCTGTAGCAGTTTAAAGGTTACAAAGTGCTTTCAACATATCACGGGTGCTAGCCCCTTTTCCCAGCTCAAGCCAAGATGCTGCCTGGGCAGTGACGATGGGCAGCGGTGATGGGCAGCGTCTGAGTCTGGGGGTGTCCCCAGGGTACTACATACAACAAAGGGGCTGAGCAGGGAGCTGGGAGGGACTTCCCACTGGCACTGAGATGCCAGTCACACCTCCAACCAGGATGCCACAGAGAAGGCATGGTCGTCCGTCCAGGCCAGGTGGGCACAGCAGGAGAGGCGCCAGAGGTGGTATCTGCAGACCTCGGTTCACATCCTGGGGATGTACGAACCTGGAGCAAGTCACTTTCTACTGAGCCTCAGTTTTCGCTCTGGACTGGTTAAAGGAAATGGGAATGTTTAGTCTGGAAGACGAGAGCGGGGTGGCAGTGGGGCACGAATGCCGTCTTCAAGGATGAAGGGGTCAGACACCAGACGGTGGTCCGAGGGGCAGGTTTAGGCTGGATGTCAGGAAACCCTTCCTCCTGATGAGGTCTGCCAGCAGGGGCTGGAGCAGCCCGTGTCAGGGATATTGGAAGAGGGATTTCTCCATCAGCTTTCAATAGGATCAGACAGCCTCCAAATTCCCTGCCAATTCTGACACCCTGAGATCTTGTGCTTGGATGATCCCAGGGGTCCCTCCTGGTCCTCCAAATCCTGCCGGTCTGAGCCTCTGGCCCACATAGGTTGGCCTCAGGTGAAGAAGCAGGAATGCTCGCCTGGTTGATGTGGCACTGGGACACGCCAGGCACTCGCAAGGGTGGCAGTCAGCACAGCCATCTCAGCTCAGGATGGGGGGAGAGTGGACCGAGCACCACTGAGCTCCCTCAACCACAGCTGCCCAACGGCCTGATGGGGAATGGAGGCCAGAGGTCAAAGCAGCCTGATGGACAAATCACCAGGGGGATTCAACTGGGTGGCAAGTTTAATTGGGTTCCATTTATTCTGGGGAAAAGAAACCCCCAAGATAACACAGTGTGACCTTTCACTGAGCTCTCTGGCCACGCCAGCCGGGCCTTAGAGGTCACTGGGCCAGCCCAGCTGTGGGGAGTGAAGACGGTGGCCCTGGAAGAGCTGAGCAGGACAAGACGGGAACTTCTGGAGTAGAGAGGACCCTTCCCCTTCTGCAGAGGATCCGTTCTGGGGCTCCCCTTCTCATAAAGAAGTGGAATGAGCCTTCGGCTCCAGCCATGGCACGTGGAGACGTCCTTCGTTAGGAGCCAAGTGACAGGCATTGGTGAGAGCCGGGCTCCAGCCAGGAGCTCTCTAGCACGGGAAACTGAAAAGTATCGAGAGAAGGGAGAGGGCTTGTGGTATTGACTATGAGGAGTCACTTCCTGCTGCCTTCCAGTGTTGTGGGAAGGAATCTCCTGGCAGCCTCTTCTGTTCCTCCGTCTGCCATGAGACCGACCAAGGCAGCCCCCATCTGCAGGTCAGCACTGACCTTCAACCCATCTGATCATTTAACAAAAAGCTCCTGCGGTGGGGAGGAGAGGCACGCTTCTGCTGCCATGGAGCCTTTCCGGAAGTGGGGAGGAGAGGGGTTGGGTGGGGGTGGGGCAGAGTAAAGCGGGGGGGGGGACCCCCCAGATCCTTGCCTGCTCAGTTAGTCAATAATAATAATAATAATAATGATAATAATAATAATAATAATAATAATAATAATAACAGTAACAACAACCATAAAAACACCGCCGAATAAATAGTCTACTCCCCGGCACCCACAGCCACGGGAAAGAGGGAGCTCTTTGGCCCCGCTCAGCCTGAGGATGGAAAGAAGGGAGAAGTCATTGCCTGGGGACCCCTTTCCCAGAGTCCTCCGCCTGGTCCTGGAAGACCCCCAGGGGAAGGGACAGCCCAGCCTACACGGGGAGGAAGGCAGGCGGTGGCGCACGCCACGCCGCTCTTAGCTCTTGTCCTTGGTGGCCTTGCTCTTGGAATCTTGCTTGGTTCCCAGCAGCGTCAGCACCTTCATGGTCTTAAATTTGCCTTTCTTCTTCATCCCGGCTTCTGCCTCTTTGTGAAACTCTGCGGGAGGGAGGGTAGGGATGGGTGGCTGCTACCCGCCACGTGGACTTACGCGCTTCTCTGCCAGCCCCAGAGGGTGATAAGCGCCTGCCAACAGCCCAGGTGGCATCACAGTCCCCATCCCCATCACTAGGTGGGTCTACCTGTGTTAATCCTGTATGGATTCATGTGCCTCGATATAGGGGGGAGGGAGGGCAATCGGCACTGAGATAGCACCTACTGTGTGCCCAGCACTGTGCTCGTGCTTTACAAATGTCATCTCCCTGAATCCTTACAACAAGCCCGCAAGGCAGGCGCTGTTATGACCACCATTTTATAGATAGGGAGACTGAGGTAAACAGGCTTCAATGTCTTGTCCAGGGTCGCCCAGACAGTAAGTGCCTGAAGCTAGATTTGAACTCAGGTCTCCCTACCTCCAGATGCAGTGTTCCATCCATTCACAATAGACATATACACATACATGTATTAATGTGTGTGTGTATAGACACACACACACACACACATGCACAGACACACACATACACATACACACACATACAGATACAGACACACACACAGATAAAGACACACACACACACACACCCTCAAGGCACCAGACTCAGGCAGCGGGGCCCCGCGGGCCTGACCAGGTCATGGGGGCCCCCCGACACCCACTCACCTTTCTTCTTGATCATGGCCTCCAACATCTTGTCTTCCTCCTCTTCCCTGAGGTCAATGAGAATGGAGGGGGGGAGAAAGTCAGTGAGGAAGCCACAGAGTAAAACCCACTGATGCTCCTTCCACGCATGAAGGGCCGCTAGAGACAAGGTCCCAGCGGCGCCTCCCCAGCAGCACTGTGAGAGAGAGGCAGGCAGGGGCCGTGCCTACGGTCTAGGAAGGGGAAACTGAGGCTCAAAGCCATGATCAGGGGCCCAGGGCC